ACTACTTCCTAGGTGTTGCACAACATTTTTCGAGAAAACAGATTCCTACTTTCTTATTTCATCCTTTACAAAACTTAATCAGTTTTTTTTTTTTGTATTGGATGAATTCCATTCAGTATATTGATTCAACATGAATTTGGTGTGTCCTGCCCAACATTTAACCTCTGGTGCGGTGTGCTCGCTTACATTCTGTGATGGTGAATAGGAGAAGACGGCAAACATAGTTGTGCAACTGACTGCACTACGGTATTCTATTTTTATATATTGAAACCTGTTTATCAAATGTATTGTGTTAACTGTCTGAAAAGAGCTATCATTAAGAGGCATTGCTCATTCTGTATAGCAGATGGACTGAACTGCTGGATGCATCTTAGCCATGTCTTTTAAACTCAAAGTACCCTCCACAGTCTCTGTATCTCTGAAATGGAGTCAGTAAATGTGATAGGGGCACCGTAACATTTAGCTAGGTATTTGCACAAATTAGAATATGAAATAATTAATGTGTATAGTGTTATAAATATGTTTATGCAAATTCTAGCTCCTCTTTACCTTCCTTTGTGGTACTGATCAGTACAGCTTCTGTTAATCGTTAATGATTAACGCACCTTCTTCCTCCTTCACTTTTATCTGGGCATAATGCCAGGCGTATTATTAAGATAAAAGAGTTTTCCTTCCCCTCCCATTTTGCCAGCTCATGCCAAGGTGTTACTGACCTCTTATTCCTTTCTTCTGATGATCTTAGCATTACTTCTCCAAATTCTATACACTAAATGGCTTTTTCTCCCCTTTAAAATGTAAAGAATACATCTACACTAAGTAGCCTACTGATGAGAAGATTGGATGTCTTCAGTGTTGTTAATCAGTAAATTAACTTCAAGCACTCATTTCAGTGCTGAAGATGCACACTTAACTGAGATTCACTTCCCCCAGATCAGATTCAGCACTGGCAAAAGATGAACTAGCGTCCTTGCTGCTTCTGCCTACTCAGCTCTAACTTGGCCTGGCTCCTTTGGAGGTCTGTTGCATCTGGTTTGCATACCAAACTGGTCAGGCCCAGATGTAAGTACTGCTTTACTGACAGTGCAGTCATTCGTCTGAATGAAGTTACATCACTTAAAATATACCATGCCTGTGTTTTGCAGGGATAATAATACCATGCATGGACTTAATGTTGTAAAATACATAAATGTTTGTGGCTTGTGCTGATATATTTTGGATTCAAACAGATAAAATGAAAATTCTACAAAAACTGTAAGCGAGCCCTCAAAAGGTAGTTGGATTTGCCTGTTCATGATTATCGTTTTTGTATTACCTAGTATCTAAGGGAAGGCAACTTGCTTCTATATCTCCGCCCCTAAATTTACATGCAGAGTTCTAATCTGCATGCACTTTTTAAGAGGCTGTTTTATCTCTGAAGGGTTTTAATCATATTTTTCAGTGCTAGTGATTAAGAAAATACATTTTTTAAATAAGGGTATTTAGCCTGACACCACCAAGCTGTTTCTTGCAAGTTAGACATTATATCTTTTGAGAACAAGGCTGATTCATTTGGTAACTCTTCTTTCCTTGCTACAGCAGAATGTTATGCCTCATTAGCTCGTGAGTTTTATCGATAAGACCAAAATGAGAGAGTTGGTGTCACTTTTGGACAGACTGTGAAATGGAAAACAGGCCTGCAGTGGGACTTCTGGGACAGATAACTATCGATTTCATACTGTTTCATAAGAAAAGGTAAATGTCACAGAACTGAAAAGAGCCAGTTTCCACAAAAATCCCTAAGATATTTGAAGTCATAATCATTTTAAGGTGACATCCTTGACTCCAGTGAAGCCAACAGTGAACTTCCCACTGAAGGTTGTATCTCATCCAGCGCCTCCATTCGGGCTCAGCTTACTTCCTTAGGCATTATATGTCTCTCTCCTCCTATCCTCTATCTCAGGACATACTAACAGGGAAATAGGAACAGTGTATATAGTTTTGATCAGTAAGCACTAGCAAAACTGCTATTTCCCCAGTTTTAATTGTTTTGTTGAGTGAATTTAATGTGTTTTGATCTCACTTGTTTTGTCTGCATCTACCTCTGACATATGCCATCTGTTTTTAAACACAAGATGACTCCTAGGTCTGAGTCAAAGGCTGTAGTTACTTATTTTGGCTTTGAATAAAGGAACATAGGGGGTTTGTTTGTTTAGAAAAATTGCATTTGGGAACTTAATAAACTTCCAGACTACCCAGCTAAAGGACAGGAATTCCACCCTCCTCAGAATGTTTAAGTGTGTCTGTATATGTATGTGCATATGAATGCTTACGTTAGTACGTATCAGAAAATCAAATGCTTTCACTGATTAAATCCCTCTTTCCCCATCTTTCTTGTGCATTTGCCTTCTTCCATGCAGCAGCACTTTGCACATCTATTCATGCCTAAGTACATGATGTTCACTTGTGCTAAATGAATAGGGATGTGTATTTGCCTCCCTCTAAAACCCTTAACTGAAATTTGTATCTGTCCTTCACATGGCAAGTGAATCCACCTTTGTTTAGCTGTGACCATGTTGTGTGTCACCTCTTCCACAGGCCCCTCCGACGTCTTTACTTAGAATGTGGTGTGAACAGACATCCACTTACGCTTGTGTCATGCTACTCCCTTTAGAGGATTTTCCCTCTGTGCTTTATCATGTTCTCTGCTGAGATGTTCTTTTGATGTGTAACTTAAAGCCACTTGAGAGAAAAGTAGGAAGCCCCCAACTGCTACTAGTTTCATCATTTATTGTGAACTAGTACTGGAAAAAATGGTCTCTGATTGTTACAATACAAGAATAGTATAAATATTTGGGTGGCATCCTTATGTTGGTCATTTTGGGGGCTGAGCTGCATACAGCTGCGTCTGGAGAAAAATAGTAATGGTGCTACAGAGGGAGACAAGCAAGAGCGTCAAATGCTGTCACATCCCTGTAGCTAAACCAACTGATATTTGTGAAGATCTAGCTGTTTAACAAACGCATTGGAATATCCAAAATACAGCCACAGATTAGTAAGATCTCTAGGAAGGATTTGGGAAAAATTTGGCCCCCAATCAATGAGGCAGGAAAACTAATGGCAAAGGACGGAGAAAGGCCAGGGTACTTAGTGGCTCTTTGGCATAGCTTTCATGGGTAAGGTTTGTCCTCTCGTCTCTCAGGTCCCTGAGCTGAGCATTAGAGTATGTGGGAGTGAAGCATGACCTGTAGCAGAGTAAGGCAGACTTAGAGAGCGCTCACAGCAGCTGGGTATGCAGCAGCTCATGGGACTAGATGGGGTGGATCAAAGGGTGCTGAGGGCGCTGGTTGATGCTATTGCAAAGTCACTCTGTCATCTTCAAAAAGTCATTAGGAAAGTTCCCTAATGGCCAGCGAAAGGCAAGCACTGCACCCGTCTTCAAGAAACGGGATCCACAAGAGAACTACAAGGCAGCTAGGGTAATGTGGCTAGTGCCCTTCTGGGGAAGGTTATGGAGCAAATCCTCCCGGAAGCCATGTCCAAGTAGACGAAGGACGGGAAGGTTATTGGAAACAGACAGCATGTATTTACCCAGGGCAAATCACACTCCATCAGGCTTTCAGCACAATCAACTGTAATATCCTTGTAGCCAAATTAGTGAGACCTGTACAGTGGGTGAAAAATAGACTGAACTGTCAGGCTCAGATGGGTTGTGGTTAGCTGTTTCAAGTCCAACTGGTGGCACGTTACTAGTTGCACCTTTCTGACTGATAATATTCAATGTCTCTGTTAACGATGTGGGCAAAGGCATGGAATACACCCTCAGCAAGTCTGTGAATGATGCCAGCTGATACACTGAGAGGCAGGGCTGCTGCTTGCAGGGCAAGCATGAAGTTGAACAAAGGCAAGTGCAGAGTTCTGTATCTGGGAGGGAGTAACTCCATGCACCAGGACAGGCTGGCCCAAAAGCAGCTTTGCAGAAAAAGTGCTGGTGGATGAGCAGGTGAACATGTTTCAGCAGTATGCCCTTGTGATGAAGAATGCCAACGGCAGACTGGGCTGTGCTACCTCAAGCGGGGCCAGCAGGTTAAAGGAGGGGATTCTTCTCAATATATTCCGCAGTTGTGAGGCTGCATTAGGAGTACTGTGTCCAGGCTGGGGCTCACCCATCCTGGAACGACACTGGAGCCAGTCACCACCAGGGTGGTCAGATACTGGGATAGGGGCCCAGAGAGGCTGTGAATTCTCCATCCGTAGAGACGTTCAAAACTGGGCTGACCTCGCTGGCTCCGCTCTGAGGGGGCTGCTTGGGTGGACGTCCTCCAGATGAGCCTTCCAGCCCCCCTTACTCGTGCTTCGGGCGCGCCAGGCTCGGTCAAGCTTTGGCTGCTTGCGAGCGCATCCTTATGTGCAGAGGGAAGGAGAAGGGAGGCAGCACCGCGGAGGCGCGGTGCGGTGCGGTGTAGTATGGTATGGTGCGGTGCGGTGCGGTGCGGTGCGGGCGGCGGCCGACCGAGCGCCGGGGGGGCTGGGGGTGCGCGCGGTGCCTT